AAGAGACCCGTGGGTTGAGATAAGAACAATTTAATACTACTACTACTAAAATATGAACATACATAGCACAGTGAATATACGAATATACATAGCACAATGATAAATATATATACAAACAAGTGATGTACAGTGTAATTGCTCACCACTCCTTGACCAAGGCCTGTGCCATCCCAGACTAACAATCCCGCAATCCCAGATGAGCGAGAGGCCCGAAGAGGTGGGGAGGTGAATGGGGAGCACTCTGAGAGTCCAAGAGTGAGAGACCTGGAAGAGCAAAGGCCTTCTTTCCGGCTAACCCTCATTTTTATACTGGGCATGACACTGCATGACATGGAATACTTCATTGACCAGTTTGGCCCTCAATCCTAAGTCTAAGTACAGATCATAGGGAGAGTCGTGGACCCTCTGTCCCTATTCTGTTGTGCTCCTGCACACTGGCAAGAACACAGCAGCTGAAAAGTCCTTGAGACCTCAGTGCCAACTATAAACATCAGTGCGCTGTCAGCGTTCTTCTCATAACGAGTCCCAGACTAAAACCAAAACACGGAGCTCTTCTGGCTGTTAAAAAGAAGAACTAACTCTGTCCCAGCTGAAACCAAGACAGGTTGATCAAACAAATCTGGTACACGGAGTGGGAAAGAGCTGTCCCATCGCATGGCAGCTCTGCATTATGCCATTTGGCTCAACTTTTTAGATAAGGAGTGTGCTAAGCGCACATCTACGTAAGGACTGCAACAACAGACACACACCTACCATGTGCCCTAATATGTCAGGTCATTTATCTCATCATGTCACCTGAAGCACATACAAAACTTGCACAGAGAGTAAAGAGTTTTCAAATTATTTCAATACTTTCTAATACCTGTAAGCAGAGACTAGAGAGCTCCAGGAACCATTCTTGAACATGATTTTCAACAGGAATGGGTAGGTAGGATTTTCCAACCACTGTTAGCACACTAAGATGCATCTTTTGTTTATAAGCCAGTGTTTTCTCCTTGTTCATCCTCTCAACCAGACCAAGTAGAGCTCAGTATTCCCACCTAAGGAATAGCAACTTTCCCCAGCGCAACAATAGGGTTAGGGTGTGAATTAGTTGGCATTAGAGAAAAATACTCTAGAAAATATTTGAGATGAGCTTCAAATTTCTGAAATAACATGGGAAATTTATATAAAAAGTAAAAATTTCAAATATTAACCATGTTCATGTGTGTGTAGAGATGCAGGGAACATCCTCCGAAACTTGTGCTTTTCTGTGCTTGCCTACAGTGGAAACTGCAAAGATTTGTCTGTGTGCCGGAGAACAAACAAAAGGGATGCAGAAGGAAGCGGTGCTGTGCAGTGAATTCTACAACTATTTTTATTTTATCCAAAGGTATACATCTTGGAATCTGTAATCAGCTTGTCCCCTCAGAAACTTGTCATAGCAGGCAGCAGTAAATCTTTCAGGCATTCACTCAGTCATTCACTTCCTAAGTCCCACTGAGTATCATGTATCTTGAGACTGCTATGAATGTACACAAGACTGAAAATACAACTGAGTTACGAAACAAACAAATCACAGAGGAGATGTCCTACTATTGTGATAATAGTAGTGCTAAAAGTGTTTGAGGAAAAGAACACAATTCAGTGTGAACCTAAAGAAATAAACTCTCATTATGAACATGATCAAAAAGTCTGACAAAACTATAAAACATTATTTTAATACTCCCCCATAGGTTTTTCCATCTTGCAAGGAACTATAAAGAACACACATAGAACAAACTTTTTACTTTTGCTTGATCCTATGCAATTTCCATCTCCATAGATGGTAATACGCGTGCATTTTCAAGAGCAGAAGGGCTCCAAGCTAATAGATCTAAATTAGGAGGAATCTCTGAAAATTAAGATGTATCTGAAACTTTGCCATGGAGCAGACTCTTCTGAAGTTCACACTGATACTCACTCTCTTTAAGTAAAAAACACAGAGCATAAATTACTTGCATTCAGCAACTGTCTAGCTATTTGGGAATATAAGGTTTGAAGCAACTTCCCTGTCTATTAGAGTTCACCTTCTTTGGATGTAGCTACTGCAGGACCTATTAAATTTATGTGGTAGATTTAATTAGTATCTCTGGACTCAGATTTAATTTTTAAGATCACACACTCCTTTTCCAGTACCTCAACAAATCAACAACAGATTGCCACAAAGTAAGAGTAGCTTTATGCAGTAACTAAAGATAGCTGAGGTGTGTATAGTTCAGTGACAAGTGTTCACTAGCAGGAAAATTTGTCCAGGAGCTATATGCCTCCTGTTCAGTTAAGTATGCATATAATCCACACATCTGAAATAAACACACCACTATATATTTTTGCCTAGGCCCACTTATGGACATAGATCATACAAAATGGCAACGTAGTGATAACATTTTGGAAGAAAGGGAGATGGTTACACTAGCACATTTTTTTTAAACATTTTCCTGGGTAAAAAGAATACACCTTGGATCAGCTGAAATTCAAATCTAGTTTCCGATTGAGGATCACTGTTCATATAATATTCATAAATGGAAACCAATACACTACTATCACAACAGTGTATCTATTATGAAGACATGAAATTGTGTTTTTCTTCTATTGCTTTTTAAGAGATGATGGAGAATATGCTATTTTCTAAATAGAATGACAAAACAATACATTTCCCATTCACTTGTGGAGAACGCAGATCCTGAGAGTTGGAATTTATCAAAATAAAATCCTTTAGTGGAGATCCTTTAAAAAATATTTGTAGAACATTTGCATTGTGTCACTTTGGATTACAAAACTCTGCCAGCGTACCCACGAGCAGACAGCTCTCAAGCTTATTCAAATGAATCAGCATGAAGATACGTTTTCCTTACAGTAATATTGGATCACAAGATTAACTCACCTGACTTTTGTTTTCCATCCATTTCACTGATGTATTTGTTTTACCTATTAGGTGGGTTTTCAAATATATCAACAACACTACATACAATACAACATTAGGACTACTGGACAAGATGAGTAATAAAAGAAAAATGAGATTTACAGTAGTTACATCATTTACTTTTATTATAGAACAGAGCTACCATGCTACTTGCTATAAACTCAGACATTCAGAAATTGCTGGGCTTGTCCCCAGGCTGTGCACCTCTACCAGGCTGTGCACCTCTAAAGAAAATTGCAATTTCTATTCTCATTTGCATGTCACATGATTTTGCAGATTAACATAGCACAGACTGGCATGAATATATGCTTCTGCTGAGGGTGTGACTATGGTGTAATCTAAAAAGTCTGTTTCTGGCAAAAATAAGAGTAAATCTACAGAAATCATCATGGAACAAGTCTATCATCCAGGAGTGCTAGAGAGGAAAACAAAAATCCCCCGAATATTTAAACAAATCTAAGCTTCCTATATCTGTTGTGCAATGATTGAACAACTTAACAGAAATCAGAAATAAACTCATGTCTCTACATACTTATCACATAAAACAATTGAGCATCAAAGCAGTACTTACAGCTAGAGAATATCAGAGGACATGAGTGTTCATCCATTGGGAAATTGTGCAGCTGCAGCTGGCACTCAGCATTAATGGTAAGCCTATGGAGAAACAAAGTCTGTTACTACACATGAGCACAATGAACAGTCAGAGGAGGAAGCTGGTAACCTTAGGTATCATGCAAGAGCATTTTAACATCCATAAGTAAGGTCTGAAAGGAAAGGACTATATTTGCAGATTGTTCATTAGCTATATAGGCCTGATCCAAAACAATAAAAAATAACTAAAAACACAAATCCTTTCAAACACACCATTAAGAGTTTCCTGATCTCAAGAAATCTGTGCATATGTTTTTCTCTAGACAATTCATCATTGAAGGACATGGGATGGAAACAACTATTCTTTGCAAAAATAACAGAAAAATGGCTGATATTGTGGTATGCAATTCCACCAAATTAAAACCTGATAAAGAATCTTATAAGGAACATTCTTCACATTTACTTGCAGTGAGAACGCAAAATTCTTTCAATCATTTTGGGCTATCTCTCAAAACTTAATAAATCTTTGTGTGCCATTCTTAGTTGCACAGATGCAACAAACATCAGCAGAAACGTCTTCAGCACCAGTTGAAAGTTTGTTTCACATGATATCCCTAACACAAACGACACTATGAATAGAGTTGATTTAAAAATGACTATTAAAAATACATAGTCTTCAGTCTGACAGCTTACAAAGTAAATCTATTTACCCAAGTAGGTTGCATTAAGTGGTGGTTTATGATACAGTCTTTTTCAGGAAAAATGAATTGCATGCCTGAATCTATGCAGCAAATGGAGGACATGAGGGGGTTTTGTTGGCTTTTTTGTTTTGTTTTGTTTTTAAAACTATTTCAACAGTTAAAAAACTGGATATGGAAAAGTTTGTGTCTCAAATTTAGGACGGCACGGAGAAAAGCTCTTTCTTGGAGAAGGTGACCTGTGAGGAACTTACCGGTTTTGCCCTGACACTAGAAGAGGACTTGCAGTGTTACAGCAGGAGGGCATTCACATCCAAAAGCAGGCAGGGAAGAAGAGGGAAAGGCATGGAGCATGATTAAGCCTTGTATATTTTCTCCTGAATACAGAATACTTACCAGCACTTGACAGTATCAGCGCATACAGTAGTTACCACTTCCATGCCATATCAACTCTGTGTGCTCACTTAGGTCAGATAAATTGTTTTTGAATTACATAGTGCTATTGGTGAAGAATGATCATTCTAACAGTTCCTTCTATATAAAAAGAAGGCTGACCTGAGTGGGTGAAAAGGACTCAAAACATCTTTCGCAAACTGAAAATGCTCTCATGGTTTAACATTCCACTAGGTTAAATATTATCCCTTTTTTAGCTGTTTTAGACAAATTTTGCCGTCCATTCAACAAATAGTTTCTGTAGTGATAGGTATGTAAGTCTAACTACTATTATGTAGAAACTTAACTTGCCCTGAAATACTGAAACAGGATTTAACAGGAAAAAGAAGAAAAAAAAACAACAACCCAACCAAGAGGGTATTAGAGTTGACATCCTAATCACCGAAGTCTTTATCTAAAGGCTACTGAAACAAGCAAGAGCTCTGTCACAGTGGAGCAAGCCTAAGAAGGGAAGGGCACTAAAAATGTCAGTATCGTTTCCAGCTGTTTAATTCCTTTGTTATTGTTTGCCAGAGACTTTCTACCAGAGCCCAACTGCAATCACAAGTATAATCAGAATATGATGTTGCACGGAGAGGGCTGAACACTGAACAGTGAACAATCACTGAAGAAAGTGTAGCGTGAAAGGGCTGTTTCTGAAAAAGTTTGCCATACAGAATATGGCTTATGGCACAACTCCCTTCTGAGCAATTTGTCTCTTTCATAAGTAAACAAGTATTTTGATTTCCATAGGCTTTTTTAATGTAAATATATACAATATTTCTAATACCATACAGTTGATGGTATCACAAAGATCAGAAAAACTCCAAAACCCTTTCCTCCAGCAATTTACCCTTGTGATGAGATGTGACAGACTATCTTTCAGCGTGACCTATTTGAAAAATCAAGTATTGGCATTAGCATGAATCTAGAAATACTTTATCTAGCCCTGCATCCAACTGATCAGAAATGTTTCCGACAGGTTTCGCTCTTGATTTTATTCCAAGCACTAAAAAGCTCAATTTCTACAATTTATAGAGATCTATTTCCAATTCTCAAGGTTTCTTTTTTAGAAAGACAAGACTTTGTTATTTAAACTCTGCATGCCTGAACATTTTAGAATTTGTTAAGCATGGTCAGGTAAGCATCAGGAAGAAAACAGCAGAGGAGAACAAAGATACCACTGAAAATTACTAGGCTTTCAGCCTTGCATGCTGTGTGCTCACCTGAGGGTGTACAAGATCTTGCCGTCATTCCATATGCGGAGGAGCTGGTTGGGAGTGGTGATCCAGTGAGCCTCCGCCGTCTTGGAGTTGCGAAATATTGTATCCGGGATCCAGATCAAGCCAACCATGTTGCTGTTCAGAGTCAGTATTTTCATGGTGCTATTGAAGCGAAGACGGCTATCTGTCCACGTCTGGGCAAAAAATATATCAATTTGATATTCCTGTAATGAAAACATGATATACAAATTGAAATCAGTTCCACACTTCCCACTACTACTTGGTCTATCCGGATGTAGAGCAGCAGGACATATGCAGGCCAGTGGAAAATGTTTTATTTTTTTACAGCCTGAGGAAATATCTTTTTTCCTTTTATTTTTTTTTCCCCCCTTTTTTTTTTTCCTCTAACTACTTTACAAAGCAGGCTAAACATCTCACTTGCCTTGGTCCTGTGCCATAACCATTTCTGCACTAGCATGGTCTTTTCCATTGTCTCAGAACACTCACAGCTATGAGATATAATTTGCAGAAACTTCTTTGTCAAAGGGCAGACTGATTAAAGAAATGTGAAAGAAGAACACATGTAAGCTGGAAAATGGTAAATTCCCCTGATTAAGGCAATGCCTTTTGGAGGGTTGTATGCAAATTCAATAAATTAAATGCTCTGTTTGTTACCAATTGTTCTGCCAGTTGTTTTCAGGTCACACTACAGCAGAATTGGAAACGCATGTTTGTGCCTCGTTACAGACACCTCATGTACCTCAAATGCTAGGAGCTGAGTGGTCCTTAGCTTACTGCCGTGGATAAGCTAATATCAAAATTTACGTGAATCTCATCCTTTCTTTCACTCCTTGTCTACTGCTGTGTTTCTGTAGGCAAGCAGTCATAGTAGACATAATTGCAGAAATTAAAATACACACAGACAAACAGACAAAATTGTATAGGTGAACATACAAATACGCTGATTTATGCATTTAATATCCCATGGAAGAGACTGTGAAAAAAGTAGTATTTGAATTGAGAATTCCAGCCAACAGAGGCTGGAAAGGTCACATTTGCATTTGTTTATGTTCCTCTCCCTCTTTCCAGACTGCTCTACCTGTGAACCCTGTGGAAACAGCCATCAGGCCATGTCACAGAAGACCCTCTCAGTATCGCAGGGCTGGCCGCATCCATGACAGGGATAGCATTTGCTGATGTGACACAAAGTGTATGCTCTACAACGAAAGGCTAATACAGGAGCTGAGGATAATCCAGAGGAAACCATCTCCTTAGGTCTCCTGGTAGATGCACTCTTGATATATCTGAACTAAGGATGATTAAGGCTGTGTGGAAAATCTGCTGTGTTTTTGTCTTTGACCACTTTGAACTTGCTTTTATCGCATTTTTGTTTGTCTATCCCTAAATTTTTAAAGGGAAAGTGTAAAAAGAAATGTTACTATACAAGCAGTGTTGTTGATTGCTTTTTTTTAAATTATTTATAGATAGTTAGAAGAGCTTATATTCTGAACTGAGGACACTTTTTTACTAAGAGCCATATGGTTCTCCTGCACTATTACACACTATTTTTGGCAGGTCATTCTTCCAAAGCTGATGTTATAACACCAGGAAACCTAATTCACTGACACTGTAATCCTGGTTCAAAACACACTCTGCATTCTCTCATCTCTAGATGGTAAATGATCAATAGGTGCATGAATGGTGCTACCATGTTTCCAAATACAAGGTAATAGATCACTTTAGGAATTAAAGCCTAGCCGCCAAAGGCATTAAGGAACATTTTTCTTCATAGGCTATTTCACTATAATCTTTCATTGTATTATTAGCTTTATTTTCTCAGGGAAGCTGAGAGATTTGAATCTGAAGAGACTTTTCTTTCATCTCAATAAGCGCAAAGTTGCACATCTCCACACACTTAAAGAATGCAATATAAGGTACACAGCTTACTCTTATTGCTACCTAGCTCTAAATATTCAAAATGAATGCCCTTAATTCACCAGGTTGAAGATGGTAGAGTGCTAATCTTATTTCTTTACACTCAACTCTGTCATTTTAGTCCTTGAGAGTCCAGTGACAAGAATTTGACACATTCAGCTTTTATAGAGAAAAGTATGCCAGACATGTCTATGGGTTTCTCCAAATGCTGACTGAGTAGAGATGCTTTTTTTAGCTCACATGTGAGAATCAGTATTTATAGACTCAAAGACCATTTGTATACAGCTGGCTAATGAGAGTGCTGTCTTTTTACAAGACAAATTTTTGCATGATATTCATATTTGAGGATATTTTATATGAATGCTTTATTTTCGGCTAAATTTAGGAGCAGCCATAATTCCCTTCTAGTCGATCGTACATATTTAATGATAGTTAGGATTTTAAGATTCAGAATATTTAGGATTTCTACCCTACCAAAGGAAAGAAAGCCCTTGAGCTCTGTAATAATGTTTTGAGGAGGTACTGCAGTCAGATCTGAGTAAAGTAGGCACGAGAAGCAGCATAGGTGTATCATTGTGGTTTCCATTTAGGCAAACTACTCTGGCTGAGAAACAGATTGTGTTAGCCTAGAAGCAAGGCCGTGCTAACAGCATTGTCCAATTGCCATTTTGCGTCTCTTGTACTTATTACTGCAACCAGAACATGCCAGCAATGATCATTATTCAAAATACCTCTGCAACGTGCCACTGTAACTCCATTCACCTTAATAAAAATACTTCAACTCAAACTAAATGGTTCACAGATCTTCTCAGTTATTTATTTCTTTAAAAATGCATTTTCCTCATCGTAAACTTAGGTCATAAAAAGCAAAGCAACATTTCTAAAAGTCAATCAAAGTTATCTGAAATTAGCTGAATTGACTTTTTCAACACTTTATCCCTTTTTTTCATTTGCAATGTTCAGTCAGAATGTACAAGCTACAAAACAAAATATTCCCAGCAAAAATAAATGCATATATCCATTTAATATCTGAATTGCAATTTCATACTTTTTATTTTCTTCATGAATCCTTTTCAAAAGTGAATGTTAGATCAGTACATCCTTTACATTAATCTTTGTAATTACTTCCATCTTCAACCAAGGTAATGGGGTATGATATTCATACATTCACTCCACTAGGAAGGGACAGAGGTCACTTTTGAAACTGGCACTGAGTTCTTCACTTCTACTGGAACTAAGCCTGTGCACACTTCAGGAAAATTACCTTTATCTTCACTGACAACACATACTCAGTTCCCAGTGAAGTCAACAGCTTCCGTATACTGCTTTGCACAAAGCTGGTACAGTGATTTCCAACACAGCATCCAACAAGAAACTGCCAGAAGAAAGGTTTCTATGTTGGTCTCATATACAGGTCAATATAAGACCTTATAGATCTTATAAAAATATAAGAAAGGAATGCTTTTCATTTGCTACCTGCCATTTAGATGAATGCCTATGTTCAAAGACCTTTATGAAGTGCAATTATTTCACTTAGAGAGTTCAGGCAGGACATCAGGTTTCAGCAAAATAATACTTCAGATGAAGCAACGTCCTGCAGCTCTAATACTGTTCTTTTTGTTCTGTTCTACTGCTGCACCAGAAATGGTGCTTATATCCTTCCGATACTTTCTTTTCCTTTTTAATTTTTGGCAGCAACAGTTGATTGCTAAAATGAACACAGGAAGAAATAAAAACCAGGAAGATATTCAATAAGCTTTCTCCCAAGTAGCAGAAAGGTGAGTCTATGTTGTCCATGAGATGATGCCGAGGTAACGTACAGTAAAATATTCTGTCACTAAGTTTTCTTGTCTTACAGGCACTTAATTTGCCATGCTACCAGAACAGGCTCAAGATTTTTCCTAATTATGCCACATATTCACATTGCAGCTGGATGTGTTAACTGAAGCGACATTCCAGAGCAGCCACACTTCCAAAAAGACATTCTCCTTGACAAGAAGGGGCAGCTATATGGGGAAAAATAGGTCTACATATTAACATGAAGACAAATTCTGTGGAAATTGTGCTTGCTTTTGTATGTCAAATATTTCTGAAATAATATAAAATTTCTCTGATGTAAAATTCAGTTATAAACTTGAAGAGATTGATAGAAGAATAATTTATTATCAATTTTAATAGTTTTCATCATGTTTGGCTTTAAAAGTAAATTCATAAAACATGTTACATGTATAACCTAAACTGCCCACACTTAAAAACTTAATCGAAATGGAATCCATTTGAAGATTCCACAATCTGTCCAAATCAGATCACATAGGAAAATTGTTTTGTTTTGGTTTGGTTTTTTTTTTAATAAAGTAAACAATTTTAAGAAGCAGAAAGGTGAAGGAATGTGAAACTAGAAAATGGAAATGTTTCCCAGTTGAAGATTCCTGACTTATACAAGTACTCATCTGAGTCTCTAACTACATAATATCAGGCCTTTGAAGAAATTTTAAATTATCAATAGTGTTTACAGTTTTGGAAAGACTAATGTTTTTCAGCAAAATTAAAATCAATTTATTTGTATTTTGATTGATCATATGAAAATATAAAGCCTTGTTTCTGGCAGCTAATGTGTACATCTGAGTGAAATGTCTGTCTTTGTTTTCTTTTCTTCCCCCCCCATGATGACTAGCTTATGACCAAAGAATTTGTCATCAGTTCTTTTTTGCAATGTACTCTTAAATGAATGTGTTATCTTACACATTTTGTCATGTAAAAAGCCAGTTTGTTCTAATTGCAAGATTTATCAAGAAACATTCAGTACAACCTGAAAATAAGTAACATCTTGTCACTGAAAACCTCTCTATCACCTCCAACAAGGTTATCTTTGAAAATGTGATTTTCAAATTGGCACTTGGCAATGCTTACTTAACTTCCAAAGTAACTTCCAAAACCAAGAAAACAGATTATGGTCCTTTTACCTGTACAGTATGCAAGTAATTGTCTGATGGAGAACATTTCTTCCCATTCAAATTTTATAAGCTCTTCTTTAAATCTGAAATTTTGCTAAGAAAAATGAATCAATGAAATGAGGAATAGTGACTGATTTTTCTTCTGAATCAAAGGATTTAATTAGATGGTATTTTTCTGTTTTGTTGTTATGTATAGTGCAACACATTAGAGATTATTTTTCTTGCTTGCTTTTATTGATTTGTGGACAGGGGGACATAACTCCTGTCCACAACAGTATTAGCTGCAAATAACTGCACATAAGGTTCCAGCTACTTGATTTTATCATATTTTTTAC